CTCTCAGGCTTTCTTCTGTCCAGTCTGGGGACGATGCTCAGGTCATAGTTTAGACGGTCCGTTATCAGGTTCAAACTTACAAGATTTGATCATCTGTCCTCAAGCTATTTTCGGTGTGTGCGAACTCATTACCTGAGTATGTCAGGGTGTGTTACATTAACATCACTTTCAAGCAACAGTCTAGACAGGCTACAGTGATGAATATTTAAAGTTGGAGCTGTCATGCATTAAGCTTTTTGCCCTGGTTGAGGTGGGAGTGAATCAGATACATTTTTTGTATTTATAACTCCTTGTTTAGATTAAAATGACTTAAATCCACTCCAACAATTTGCTAACAGAAGCAGAATTTGGAAAAATATTGGAATGCAATCATAAAGCACCATGATTATAATTTGAATGTAATAATCTCTAAGAGGGAAGCATAACAAAAAGACATTTGTATGCTTAACACCCCACAGATGTTCTCAATGTTGTATCTATCTATAAAACTTTCTATTTGTCCATCTAGAAACAAAACCGTGTTAAATGTCTCTGTACAAACACAGTAAAATTCAATAAATTAGAAAATTATTAGCAGAATTACTTATACCCTGTATATAATTATTTTTTTTTTCATTAACTAAGTTCATAAAGTGAAAAACATCATAAATGACTTCTGCTTGTTATAATGATTTTCCACTTACAACTAATAAAAACGCATTGAAGATTATATTACACCAGACCAATAAAAACTATTTAATGCAACAATGTGGGGGGAAAAAAAGAATGTTTACTACCTGTTAAAATTTATTTTCAAAAAGTATTTTAATCTTGCAAACAAGCCTCATCGGGATGTGTATTCTAATTTATTGAAACGACTGCATACACATTTGTTCATCTAATCTCTTTATCCATCCTTAAGGCAGTTGGTCCAATAAACCACCAAAATATTATTGAATTAAAACAAAACACATCGACTTTAAAGTAATCGGAGTCCCACCTCAGTGTGCTTTTATACAAAACAGTTTTTTAAACCATAAACTGTTTTATTGAAAGGATAAGCTCCCTTTAGTTTGATTTTCGTTCCCTGAGCAAATTCCCGACTAACCTTATCTGGAGTCTGGGTAACACCAGCCCTGAATGTAAATCACTTTAACAGCCCATTGAGTGTGCTGGACATCCTTCAGCTCTAATGGATCCAGCAGTAAAAACACTCACTATTTGTTTGACGTTTATGTGTGTGTCCCACCTGTTCTACAGAAATTATACGGAATCAGCAAATTTACAGAGCGAGTAATGCATATTAGCAGATGGAGATCAGGATTTCACCATTCTGAGCTCTTTTACCCTCATTAAAAACTGTTTTTTTTCTTATTTACTGTAGATTTCTTCTGGTCATTGAGTCTTCATCAATGTATTTTACTGCCAGAAAGGGGATATTTTCTCATCTCCGCTCTTGAGCAGGATCAATACTTCCACCAAATCATGTGCATACACTGAGGAGCTCAGTAAACATCACCTCATACATTTGTAACCGATCGTGGGTCTGCAGCATCCCTTATCTTCCTCCACTCGTATGCACACAGGACAAATCTGAAACATATATTGTCTATTTGTGTCAATCTCCTTTTCATTTTCTTTCCGCTCAAGCTTGCCAATGACGCAACACACACACAGTGAAATCCAGCGCTCTCACAGTCTCACAAACACGGAAAATCGAAATCACAAATCGGCTTAACTTTCCCTGACATGTCTGTGAATTAAGCCTTTCCGTTGCTCTCCCTTTCCCATTATAAAGGCATTGTCAAATGCTGAATCAGTAACAGGTAGCCCACAGCTCCTGCTGCTTCTTTCTTACCTTTTCCTTCCCATTTCCTTCTTTCCCTGTCATCTCCTCTTTTGCTTTTATCCCCCCAGCTTTTCAACCCTCCATTTTCTTCCTGATTGTCTTCACAATGACCTCTACTAGTTCTTTCCTTAATAACTTCCCCTGTCCTTATGCAGTCTTAGTGTTTATTCCCATATTCTTTTTTATTAGTAATAGAAAGCAGTGGTGAAGTGGCTACAGAAATTTTCCATATTGTGTTATTTTATTCAGTTTTTTGCTGTCAAATTATAATTATTGTACATTTTCTTAGTTTCACGTTTCAACTCGATACACATGGGTTGTTTTGAAAACTGACAGGTTAATATGAAGCACTAAATTCCCAGAAATATATAAAGTATTAAAATGTAACCTGACATAACTAATGTTACATCAAGCATAAAAATTGTGATATAAAAACTCAGCCAGTGTAAGGGTTATGCACATCATTCCATTTAAGTAGTTTATTTTTTGTTGTTGCAGTAATTTTGACAAGAGTGACTATTCTTCTATAAGCTTTGGCTCCTACATAATGAGAGAAATTGAGTTGCCTTCTGTCGTTGTTGTTTACAGTTGCCATTTTTAAAAGCTCTAATAAAAAAATTTCCACTCTTGGGAACTTCCTCCAGACCAATAAAGACAGGTACAGAGTTGTACTGTGCACTTTTTTTTTTTTGCCTCTCCTTTCTTCATACTTTGCTCTCAATGAATCAGACTTTCATCTGCTACTTTTATAGAGGTCTTGTTCAGCAGTTCTTTCGTTTTTGTTTGCTTTGTTTACCATGACTGTTAGCAACACCGTGCGGGATGCAGGAATTGCTTATTATTATTATTTTTAGTTTATTTTTTAAGAAAATAATAAGGCATTCTTGAGGATTTCTTCAGCTGTTTTGACAGCTTTGATTTCTTGGTTTTTCTAATGGTTCTTCCAAATTTTACATCGAAAGATAATTTTTTACCCTAATAGCCGACTGTTAAGAGTAATTTTGTTGATAAAGAAATTTGACCATTATCTGATGATTAAAAAAATAAGAACATTTCATGCAAATTTGATACTGAATAAAATAAGAAAATATGATGACCTAAATACCTTTTCCACATATATTAATGCAGAGAAAACTTATTTAAAGTCAAGCTTGTGTTTAAAAAAAAAATGGTATATTAGCAGTTAATGCTAGTTTAGGTTAAGGTTTGTTATATTACTAGAAAACTCCCTGGTGCACATTGTTGCTTCTGCCAAATGTCAGCTGGGACAGGCTCCAGCCCCCTGCAGCCCTCTGCAGGATAAAGAGGGCTGTGGATAATGGATGAAAGGAAGTTAGTTTTTTTTTTTTCCCTCCAGCATCGTATTGCAACAGCTTCTAGCATTTGCTCGGTTGTATTACATGCCTGTAAAAGAAAGAATAGGAAGAATGCTGTTCTTTCTATGCAAAGAACAGGAGAACAGAATGTTCAGTGAAACCAGTGTTGTAATTATTTGTGAAAAATTAATGAATTTTGTGTTGTGGAAATATAAATATTTCAGGTCATGTGTGATGACTCACCATAATATGTTAGTGAAGAGGTGATAGTTTGGGCTTGTTTTGCAGTAAAAGGACCTGAACTAATCCACATACCATTTGTTTATTAGCTAAAAGTCAATCCAAATCGGGTCAGCAACAGAAAAACAATCCCAAGGACAGTAGCAAATAATTATGAGTGGAGACAATGCTGTCTGTGTTAACCGCAGCATTTTTTTTTCTTCAGTTTAAACGATTGACGTCCTCAGTAGTGAAGCTTTAATGATACATGTTCAGTCATTTCCACAAGTAATAATTTCTAATATATTGCATTTCAAGAGAGGAAAAACATGCACACTGTTCTGATCTCAGCGTTCCACCCAGTGCGTTTGATATTTTGCAGTTGTAACTCCAAGAGGTATCACAGAAGGTTTGCATACTGAGAGGCAGGGAGACTGAGGAAGAGGAGGAGTAGGAAGGAAACAGAGTCAACTGGCAGTGTTGTGAATGCAGGGTGTAGACAAGCAGAGCGATTCTGACAGGCTGTGTCTGCACAGTTTGTTCTCCAATAGGCCCACACAGAGTCACCAGTGGGGTGCACGCATGCACACTCTCGCAAACGTGCACTATCGAGTCGAACGCTCACGCACTCGCAGGCGCCGTCAGTCAAGCTACACACAGCGTACTGAAGACTTATCAGCGCGCACACACGGCTACATTTTTAGTACAAGCACACGCAAATTAGGAAGAGAGGCGAGAGGAACAGTGGAAAGGACCCGTTTTGAATGGTCTCCTCCCAAAGCTCCAGTCCTGGGGAAATGAAGCTATCCTGACAAGGGATGAAAGAGCAAGAATGGTTTCATCACTTTCTCTCATGTTTCACTGCACCATGAAAAAGAAGCTTCCGACAGCCTCATCTGCCCATTAGGGAAAACATGATGTGCATTATACCAAGAAGAGGATGCTGAACAGTGAGCATATGAGAGGCGGGGAGGACAAGCAGAGAGGGAGAGAAAAAACCCTCAGCCACAGATATGGATGATTCTGCAGGGACTGAAGGTGGCAACATTGATCTCAAAATCTTTCCATTTTCAGTTGCTGCCTATCGATACTGTCTCCTTTTATTTAGTCTGGCCTGCCTGAAGCCTCTGCTGAGAAACATTTCCTGTCATCATCATTTAAATTTTCCTACCGTTCCATTTAAACAACTTAAAAATGATCATATAAATATATATATATCAATCCCATTTTATTATTTTTTTTTTGTTGAAAAATTCTGCATTTGACGGTGTGAACAACTTTGTCAACTTCCTGCACTGTTTTAGAGGATTCAAGACCCTGTAAATTTGGATAGCATGCCAAGAAAGCTGCATAAATTAGGATATGTGCAATATTTTGATCTTTTTACCAACAAAGCAGAACATTTGCGGAATAAAGTTGTTAGACTGTCATGAGCACATCAGCAAGCTGCTTTTTTTCAGAGAGAAGTTAAAAATATCAACATGAAGCAAAAAAATAGGTAAAATGAAAAATAAATTAAAATAGGTAAAATAAAAGATGATTTTATGATGTCTAAAAGTTTCCAAAGGGCAAGTTGAAGGGGAAATGACTCAGTCCTGATCATTTTGTTCTTATTATCTTTTCTCCTCCATCTCCAGGGTGCAGTGATCACGCCAGCCATGGACCACACTATGTCCATGCAGCCTCCCAGTATGATGGGCCCTCTAACCCAGCAGATGAACCATCTGTCCCTGGGCACTACAGGAAGTGTGAGTACCCCTTATTGCACCATCATGAATCACACAAGAAAAAGACTTAAAAGAAATTTTGAGCTCACAAGAAAACTCTTATACACTCTGATTCTCAAGGGCAACTTCAGCCATTACTGTGTGATCACAGCAGTAAGATTTATGAGCAGCTTTGTTGTTGGGTTTAAGTTGAAAAAAGAAACTGCACCAACTTTGCCCTCGACTCCCAAAAACAGTTTTTTTTTTTGTCATTTCACTCTATTCAATCTTACACACTTTCCTTCAGGATTTACTTTTCATTCCTGAATGGCTTAGAGGCAAAAGTTTGGTTAAAGTGCACAAACGCAGAAATGATCAGTTGATGAAGGTTTTTGTACTGAATTGAAAGCAGCCAGAGAAAATGAGACCTTCAAAGAACCTGGAAAACAATTGATCAGAATCCCTCCAAGAGATAACAACATAGTGTCTTGCCAACAAGATATTTTAAAAAAAGCAAAGTAGTGTGGATTTTATGCATGACACATTCGTTATTACTTTGATTTTAAATATTTGATAAGAGATCTGACAGCATCTCGGATAATAATCCAGTGAATGATGATAAATCATATAATAATTGGCTTAATGTATTTGGAGAATGTGTTAGTCCCATACTGACTACAATTTTTGACATGGAAACCTAAAATAACTTTTATAACCTCAAATCCTGCAAAGCAAAAAAACTTGCAATTCTCAATAAGTCCAAAAATACGACCTGAGATAAATATCTGACATATTACGCTGTGGCATAATTTTTTAATAAACCCTGGAAAACATAGTTTGTGTAAAACTAACCAATCTCTTCCTGCTTCATTAGAAATTAATACAACAGCAGCTAATCAAATGCATTTATTATTTGATCACCAGGAAGTGTGACCATTGGTCCAAAGCTGCACTGCTGATGGGATTAAAATTAGGTCGACTAATTTGGAGCCATTTTATCTTTGAAAACATTTTTTAATTTAGTTTAGAAACTCTGAAGTGTGTTTCTGAACTGGAGAGGTTTTAACGCTTCCTCTTGGAAAAGCCAAACAGTCTTAGTCTGTCGCCACATGTTCTCAGCCATAAATCTGTCATATTATTTAGTTTTAAACCGCGTGCATTCACTGCGAGATATTGAGAGAGCGTATTTCCTCCCTAATCTTCGACATTAAACAGATTTCCTGTGGAGCTTACTCCCTCTGCTCTCCACCCTTTTCACTTTCACCCTCTGATTTCAGATTCTTTCTCACACTTTCTAAATCGCACATCAAACATATCTCTCCATCAGCAGCACTTAATGTGCTCATTCACTTGCTGTACAGTTGGCGTCCCCACATCAAGAAGACACCCCCTCCCACCTCCGCCTTCACATTTCAGGATCAAGTCGACTTAGAGGTGTCACACCGCTCTGAAGCTTGACTGTCTGCCCTAACCCAGCTGCCTGGGGGCAGACAAGCAGACAGCTTTGCTCCGGTGCTACGTTTGATCTCTCTGTGTGAGTTTGATTGAAACAGTGCTGTATTGTACAGTTACCCATGTGTTTCCAGGTGAGCTGTCAGCGACTGTGACGCCATGTTGGCTCTGTCAGGAATGCCCCCCTCATCCTAATCTGCCCCAGCTGTGCTAACAGGCAGGATTAGAGACTGGCTAATCTATGGTGATGGCTTCTGATGTCTGATGGGTTCTGGTATAGGAGAAAGTGGGTTTCGGTATTTTTCCTCCCTTTTCCGTGTCTGGTTTACCCCCTTTCTGCCTGCTTAGCTTTCCCGAGGCGATGTGCTGTGCAGCAGAACTCCACTGCGGCCGAGCAGCTCACGCAGCACGCCACGCTTGATCATCAACGGGGATTGAGACGCGTTTCCTGTAAAGCTGATTCTTAAGCCAGATGTGAAAAGCCTTTCATTCAACCTAATTGTGAAAGCCTGTTAAAGGGGCTTAGAGCCCAGGATGTTCAACTATCCGTGTAGTAAACCGGAGCTGACAGCACATATTCTTCAAGCGCATTCTTCAGATGTAGTTGCACATGTGGTTCTGGGGGCTTGTTATGATGGCCTCTACTGGTCACGTGACTTCATCCTGGCCACAGCAGAGCACCTGCAGTGAGTAATGTCTCCAGAGTCAACAACTTATCCAGACTGGCTCTGGCAGGAGAAGCCACACCTCAGAATAATCTTGGCTGTTCCTGGGCTCGCTGTGGCTGTTTTTCTTCCTTCTCCTCTCCAAAAAAAGAACCAAATGTTCTCCGTCCGCCCAAGATGTGACACTCTGACGGTGACCGGAGCTTTCCGAGAACGCCGTGGTATTTTGCTGTGTGGTTCTGGAGGAAAATTGTGCTTCATAACGAGGGAGCGTGGATTACCAGCTCCTAACGGTCACTGCCTTGGAATTTTTGCTGCTTCTCAGGAAAAAGTTGGGTGTCTATTTGGCACAAACAACTTGATTACAGAATACTGAAGAACCTCAGGCTTTCTGTTTATGGATGGCCCACATAAACATGCCATCCATGCTCCTCACTGATTTATGACACCATGTTTGGTGCATATTGCTCCATTACTGATTTATTTACGGTCTTTGAAGTCTCAGCACTTAGCAGGAGTCTATCTGTCATGCCAGTTTGCGCCTGTTAGCTGCTGTGCATCTGTGGAAGTGCATATGTTCCCTTTGTCATTTTGTCACCGGTGTCTGTGTGTGTTTGCATGGCTGTCAGTGTCTGCATCTGTGTGTGAACTATTTGATGTTTGACATGACAAGAGGTGACCTTCCATCTGTGCTCTTCATCCTATTCTCGTCAAGACGTGTACAATTCAAGTCTACGTTGTAATGGTGCTGATTGACAACTTGCTTCCCCCAGAAGATGCACAAAGCAGTTTTTTATTTCATATCAACTGTTCTCCTCGGTTCTTTGAATCTTTTGGGACATTAGCTTTTTCTGTATTTTAACCAACCTTCTGCCGCACTGACATTGTAGCATTTCTGCTCTGTCCTTGCACTCAAATGGCCAAGAAAGGTTCCAATCTACACTTTGCAACATTTTCTTATTGCTGAACTCTTGCAGTTAGAGAGACAGTCTTACTTTTGACTCCAAAGTACTTTTGAGTTGATTGTTGACTCACATCCTGAAGCTACAAAACAAGCTCTAAGCATCAAGCCTCCACTTGCCAGAATAGCTCATATACTGTGTTGGCTTACTCCAAACATCTGTTGATTAGTCTCATTCATCCATTTTTCATAAAATGCCTTGTTCATTCAGATTCAGCTTTTCAATCCTAAGCCGTGATACTGTGTTATTTTATAATTGTATCGTTAAGAACGTCACCTAAGCATTGCACAGTCTGGTTTCCCAGTTGTAAACAACCTATGCCTCTGCAGAAAGAAAGACTTCAAGTTTAGATGTTGCCTTGAAACCCTTTTTTTGTTTGATTGGCAGCAATAATTGATTTTCTAAGTCAATTTACCACTCCATATTTGCTTTGTATGAACACTCACCTATATCAAGACCAGCAAACTACCAATTAAAAACGGAGGCCTGCACACTGGTGATCAGTGACTGAATTGCATTGGGCATCAGGCGGCTGATTTGCTTTTTAGATCTTGTGTAAGCAGCAAATGTTTACGGGCTTTAACCTAATTCAACATATAACAGTGAAACCTGTTGTTTGTTTTTGTGCATGTTGGTTTGGATTTGAATAATTTTACAACCTGGCAAAGATTAGGTCTATTGTTTTGATATATAAAACCATAAAAATGAAAGTGGGTGTATCATTACTCTCTACATTCTGCTGAGACTGGCAGTGTGGACGAATGTTAGTCCTTTTCATAAGTTCAGCTACTCCTGAGAGCCGAGGCGGCAGGAACACAGACACTTAAACGCACTCAGCTGTGCCTTGTTTCAGTTTTCCTGGGCTCAAATAAAACCTCCATTGCTCCACTGATGGTTAGGGTTTGAAAGAGGCACTTTAATATTAGGCATTGGAATATAAGGTATCTTTCTAAATGAGTTTGGATTTCACTTCAAAACAAAACCAGGACATATCCATAGCAATCAGAGCCTATCCCAAACACTCCACCACATTTAGTACAGTTGCAAACTCTTTGGGTTTTATGTGACCAACACAGTGTAGAAGGCTTGTGTTTGTTTTTTTGGAAGTGAATAATAATATTCATCTGAAAAGTGTGCATGTAGTTTTACTGCAATTACAGCTGCCAGTGTTGTTAAGGTGATGTCTCCACTAGCTACGTACACAGAATGAAATCTTCTTTTTCTCCGTCACCAAACCGTTCCAACTGAGTACGGTTGTATGGAGAACATCTGTAAACAGAGACTTTCAAGTCAAGATCTGGACTTTGAACCAAAGGGATGCATGATTTTGAAAACCTAAACCATCGTTGCTCTGACCATATGTTCCGGGTTGTTGTCTTAACTCTTTTAGATTTCCTCTATATAGCTCCCATTCATTTTCCACCTTTCACAATCTACTCTATCTTTAAAAAAGCATCTCCACAGCATGATGCCGCCACCACCAACATTCACTGATGTGCAGTGCTTGCTTTCTACCTTGCATATTGTTCTATATGGTGGCCTAAAAGATCAGTTGTTGGACATTTAGCCAGGCTGCTGTTGGTGGTGAGTTAAACGCTCAATTCACACTCCTGCTTCCCTCCTCGCTCCCACCAAACATAAATTGTGATCTAAGTCATTTTGATGCAGAGTCCCAAACCACTGTGGCAACAGTGTATTTTAGTCTATCCTATGGATTTTCGTGGTGGCATTGCTGCATTGCGGTCCACGTTTACACAGGAGTCATGAGCATGTGTCATGGAGAGTGATGGCAGCGGGGAGGCTTAAGGAGTCTACTCACACCAGCCTCGTTAGGGAGCTATTCAAGCCTACCCTTCATCAAAAATACACACACACCATCTGGTCCGGGCCTGCGTGTGTTCGTGCATAAGCATAGATGTAAATGTGTGTGACGAAACATTTATCGCCAATTAGGGATGCTTTATATTACCCAAACTTGTCCCCTGACTGGACAAGGAAGGACTAAGAGAGCTGAAATTGGACAAAAAAAAAAATTTAATCTCCTCGACTTGCCACACAGGCAGCTGCAGGAATATGACTTACTCCACCTGCCATATTAAATAGGTTAACTAACGGTCATAATAGAGGAAAAATCTTATCTTATTAAATTTTCCTGCTAAATATATTCTAAATTCCTTCCCCAGTCCTGCAGAGAAATATCACATTTCAAACAGACATTTTCCCCATGACAGGGAGATTGTGATAATGGCTAATTATCTCTCCCTTTCCTTCATTTGCTTTCATGCAGCCCTCGCAGGTGAGTTGACTGAATAAGTTAATGGGGAGGAGAGGCGAAGACCTCAAGTCCCAAGAAGAAATTGGTATGCATGGTTTTGATTCAACGGGGAGAAGGTCACTTCAACAATCTGATAGGCCCCCTTTGAGAAGCAGGAGGACTAAGAAAGAGACCGTGACAGGAAGGTGAGAGGGAAGAAGGAAAGGGAAGATGTGATGTGTCAGGAGGTCTGGATACACTGCCTCACCCTGTCCTCAGTGTGACAGCCCCGGAGGTGTGATAACCTTAAATTCATGTCCAAAGACCTGTGCGGTCACGCTCACTGATGAACACAGACTAACATCCATCCCGGGGCATCCTCCCGGCTCCATGCAGCAACGGTGGGGGAGTTAATCACCCGTGTCCGTGGCCTTTAGCTGCTCTCATTAGCGGTGAGCGGTGGAGCCGTACCCGATCCATTAGCAACGCTGCCGGTAATGACACTCTACCAGCATCGGCGGGCCCGCAGCCAAAAAGGGCCTCCTGTAAGCCCCTCCATTACCGCCTCTTGCTGCACGTCGCCGCCATCCAACAAGGACGAAGAGGCGGAGGGGGAAGAGAAAGAAAACAAACCGGACCTCCCTTTTCCATCAGTCCGGAAGGCAGCAGGAAGCAGAGGGGAAGCTCCCCGGCGGGTTTTTTTTATTTTTTATCTCGAATCACATCCGTTGGCGCTGCACCACAACATCATCGTTCCAAGCCTCTTTGTCTTTGTCTGTCGTTCTTTCGAGCAAAAAGAAGCAGGAGCATGTGGTGAATGCGTCGCGCATGCAGCTGCACACAGGAACACATGCAGACAGTGATACGCACAGTCGCGTTGACAGAACTGATGAAGGCGTGTTCTGATTAAAAGTGGGCCCATGCCCCGATGCCTGACATGTAAACAAACCTGTGTCGTGCCTGTAAAATGCCCAGCGTACAGCGAGCCTATTAAAAAACAAAGGCAGGCGTGACTAGAGGAATGTAGGCCACAGGCTACAAACCTCCTGCTCTCCTTTACAAGCAGTTAATTCCCTTTTTACTGTTATTATATTTTTATTCATCTCTTCAGTAGTTACCCGGTGTATTTGCTTGGCCTTTTGAAGTTGTGGCGGGACAGCAGGACATCTCCACCTCCTCCTTTCCCTCCCTTTCCGTTACACACACACTCATCTGATCTGCTTTGCTCGCCTTTTGGTGGACTCACATTCTCCTAGCGCCCTCTGAAGGATTCACAGAGCATAGCAGCGTGGGCTTTCCTAATGGTTGTGGGAATAATTACGTTGAACGAGTGTTCCGGGGAAGAATTACGATCTGCTTTTGATGTCAGTAAAGTATTTCAGCTCTAATATGTTTCTGGGATTTGTGATTTTAATGAGTGTCTTAGGAATTTTCTCCTGAAAGGATTTTGTTTAACTACATGCAAGTTTTTTTTTTTTTTGTGATTGTGTTTCAGTACATGACTGCTGCAGCTGCCGCCGCTGCACCTATGCAAGGGACCTACATTCCCCAGTACACTCCTGTGCCTCCAACAGCCGTCCCTGTCGAAGTAAGACCCACACGCATGCTTAAAAACATGAAAAACAACAAGGGATGACATTACATAACCCTGCAAAAATATTACACTCCTTACAATTTTTTTCACTTCACTAAATAGCTTTTTATTCTTTGCATATTTTACATTTTGAAATCGGAAGCATGCATTTTTATTTAGTCCTCTCTACTGAGTAAATTCAGTAAATACAGTCCACTATGTGTGATGGATTCTTAGCTTAAATAGACACGAGTTGTTCATATAACAACTAATAACACCAAGAAAAGTAGGCAGCAGGTCAGAGAGAGAGACTTGGAGAAGTGTAAAGCAGGGTTATGTTATAAAACAATGTCTTAAGCTTTGAACGTCTTACAAAGTAGTCTGTCCAAGAATGGAAAGTACATGGTACACTTGCAAAAACCTGTTTTGTTAAACTGACAGGCCAGAAAAGGAAAATATTAAATAGAGGAAAAGCCAAGAGGCTCAAAGCAATTCTGGAACAGCTGCAAAGGTCCAACGCTCAGGTGGAAAAAATGAAAAGTGCAAATCTGGCTTTTAGAGAAGGTCATCAAGAGAACACAACACGCATGCGGAGGAAGTTCATTTTTTAGCCTTCATGATCTGCTGATGCAGTTTTCTGCTGTCTTAGCAGAAAACTAACAGCAGATTCTGCTGAGCAGATCATCCTAAGTGTGGAATAAAGGTGTGGCAGCATTATGCTGTGGGATTGCTCTTTTTTAATACGGTCATTAAAATTTGTCAGGCTTGATGGGAACAATGGCTGAAGTCAAATGCAGTAAGAAATGAAACCTGATAGACGTGTTCTCCAAAAACCATGCTACTGTAAATACAGAAAAAAGTAGTACTAAAAAGTGCTGACACAGATCAGACAAGAATGATATTTCATCACCACAATATTCTAATTGTGATTTGAAATGTTCCCAGTTCACAACTACTTTGTTTTGATAAATTCCAGATGAAGTACATTAACATTTGTTGGTGTTATGTGACAAAAATGTGTGAACACAAAGCAGAACAGCCATCAAATGAAAAGTGCTGAATTCAGATTTTATTTCTCGCTGTATTTTCTAATACTTTTCCCAGACCAGAAAATAACAAGTACAAAAAGTGCAAGCAAAGCAGGATGAGTCAGAAGTTTGATAGTATTTGGGAAAGGCATTTGAAGTGCAGCACAGACTTCGTCTCCTCCTCGGTGGTTGTCTGAGCTCCTGGCAGGTTCGGGCAGTCTGCTCTGAGAAATGATGAACGCGCAGCGCCGGTAGGCGGGCGGGCAGCGGGGGAGAGCGGGCGAGCTGTCTGGCGGCTGACAGTGCGGTCATATTCAGATGGACTATCAGTCGTGTATCAGATGACAGGAGCTGAAGTGAGACACAGCGCCGGCGGAGCGGCCTCTCTCTCCGCCCGCAGCCGCTTCGAGCCGGTAGCTGCCTGAAACATCCGTCAGCCGCAGAGGCCTGGTTAGCCCCCGCCAGCCACCGGACAATGACAGTTTCCCCTGACATATCCATTAGTTGCCCCTCTCTTCTTCTATTTCTACGCTTTTCGACTCCCCAACCCTCCGCCTCAGAAAGTTGCTGCCTTGGCTTTTGAAGGAGTCGCACAGAGAAGAGGGATGTAGTTGTAGCATAGCCCTCGGCGTCCTCTTCCTATTTCATCCTCACCACTGTCCTCTCAGTCCCGGCGTCGGCAGCGGGGTGTAGATCACCGTATCGGCCGGTGACTGCAGGGCTGATGTATGGACAGGACATCTTATCCTTGAGAGCTTGTTAAAGGTGATTGAGACGACTCAGTGATGGGCGCAATCAGTAACGCTCCACACATACAAAAGGCTAAAAGGGTTGTTGTGATGGATTTAGCACAGACAGCTATCTGTAAAGAAGTTTTTCACCCCAAACACAAACTGTCCCAAGTCACAAACGTCTGTTCAACCAAATAAGAGAAAATTCACATTTATAATGATTTGTTTTGTAAGTTATTTGATAGGCTACTTGCTCTATCAAAGCTTTGATGACTTTCAAAGAGTTTGCATTTTTTCAGAAGTTAAATGTCACTTTATGAAACCTCACAGGTACTTGCCAGAACTTTTCCCAAACTTACAGTGTAATTTTTTCAGACTTACTGAGTACTTACAGAATGAAACTTTTCACAGAACTAACAAGGTATATTTCCTGCAACACATTAAGTATTTACCAAAAACTTTCTAAGTTCCAACATACCCACCATATTTTGCAAAGGTTTGCAAGAAAGTATCTAATACATTCCATAAAGACATAAAGGACTTTATGGAATAATAAATAAAAAAATCCTAATGATTTCCAGAAAGGTTTTGGTTTTGAGAAAAGCACCATGTGAATTCCTACCTGGAATCAAACGCTGCCATGTTTGTTTGTGTTAAAAAGACAGAAATATAAAGTAAAAATACACACCATACGCACACCGAGTAGCCTGATGCTGCCACACAGAGGTCTGACTCAGCCCAGAAATTTCCTCCGCCACTCTTCCAGGGAGTGGTGACAGATGCCTCACCCCAGACGGTGGCTCCTTCATCACAGGAGGTGGCTGGCCAGCAGCAACAGATCCAGGTGGACGGTGCCGATCACGTTCCTGCTTACTCATACCAGTCCAAGTGAGTAAGTCTGACAATGGAGTACAGATGTTTTTTAACGTCAGAGCCAAAGTCACTTGTCGGGTCATCATCCTTTAAAGAAAATATGGCATCAGTGGCAAGACATTTTATATGGCTAACATTAAAATGTTATTGTAGACTCTGCTTGACTGATCTGGAGGTGTCCTTGCCTGATATTGATAAAACACGGCCATGAAATTAAATTATTTTTTGACCTTTTTGATGATGATGCAACGTCAATGACTTTAAAAAAAAGGAATTATGATTGAGTCAGTCAAGCTGAGGTTTTGTTTAGCCTTTTGCAGCATTTATTTCACAATTTAGCTTTACTTCTGAATTCTTGTCAACTGCAACCTTTACTGCACATTTCACAGTGGAAATAAAGGTGAAGAAAACACTTTGCTGTGTTTCCTGGCTTGTGGGAATCAGTTATTATAATTCACAGAGCAAGGAAACTGCTTCAAAATGCCTACGGCCACTGATTGTTGGAACAAGCTTTAGAGAGTCTCTGTAAAGCTTTCATTCATTATAAATTTATGTTCCAACTGGCCTCTTCAGAAAGCAGTTGTGATCAAGGCATTCACGTAATAGGCCAATTAAGCCAAACGATTTTGTGCTTCCCACTTTTGTTTTATGCATCTTACTTTTCCTTCCACTCTAGTGTCACAATAATTTGCATAAAGTATTGTGGGAAAATGTCAAATTATTTCATGTTTTATTTACATTTTCATGATCACAAACCCCCTATCAGTGATCTCTGCATGCATTGGCGCCTCTTGTCAGTAAGTGTGAAAAGTTTATATTATCTTTTTATTGCAGTGATTCTTTAATTTCACAATTTACATTTGTATCCATTTGAAGATTTCTGAAGATGAATACGATTTGAAAAGCAGGTTTTCTTTCTTATGTTGGAGTGAAGTGGTAGAAATAAATGAATGAAGTCGTGGATTACTAACTAAAGATATGTTGATGAAAGAAAAATACAGCCTTTTTTTTTTAAATAAAAAAAAATGCCTCCTTTACTTTGAACTTATATGAGTTGTAAGGATTCCGCATAATGTGGAATCCACGATTTTCTTTTCTGTTTCCTGTTTTACTCTCAGGGTTACATGGACTGAGATTATTATTTTTCTTTTTTATTTAAAAATAGATTTTGGGGAGAGGGTTTGGCTGTCACTGTCAGACCCAACCAAAAAAACAAATGACAACATTTACAAAAAAGATGACAATTACTCCACGATTTTCAATCTATTTTAAATTTTTTATTTATTTTTTAAGTCTTCCAGGAATCATATAAATCTTGACGGTGCTGTATTCCCTTACTCAAAAGAACCAAACAAAGCAGCAAAGTATTTCAGTCTGAAGAATGATTTATCGAACAGAACTGGCATTTAATACTGATTCTAAAATAAGACATTAAGACATTATTCATACTATTCCAATCTGCCGGTGTCGTTTTTGGCAGCTTTTTTTATTCTTTATTGTGCCGTCAGCTGTCATCTCTGTTGCTCTGTTGTGTTTGTAAAAATATTATTTAATTCCACCAACTCCAAACCCTTTTCTCTCTCTCTCTTTCTCCTCTTCTTATCAGATAGCAACGGCCTGAGCGAATGTTCCTGTGACAGCGTTGCCTTGAGACAGAGGGTGGCTGCACTGTGAATGTGAGGAAAAGAAAGAGATTACTTCCAGATTGCCCAGGCACCAAAAAAGAGACACTTTTTTTTTTTTCATTTCCTACCTGGCCTACAAGAAAAAAAAAGAAAATCAAGACTGAGGCAAAGAGTGCTGAGGAAAAGAGGGGATGTGGGGGAAATTACTGGGCACAGTGCAAAGAAGTAAATTGTTTTAGTCTGGGAATGAAACCCGCCTGAAGGGCTGGGCTGAAGCTTGAAAAGTTTCTCAAAGAAAATTCTCAACTAATAAAAAAAAAAATAATTAGAAAAGGCAAAAAAATTAAATAAAAAGAGAAAACTAAAAAAATATATATAATAAAAATGGTTGAATGCGCTGGTAGGTGATGAAGTTTATTTTGTAATTAGAAAGGGGGAGGCAAAGTTTGAGATACACACAGAGATTGTCTTCCTCAGATATTAAGCTACGGTTTCTTTTCAGTCTTTTTTTTATGTTCTAGTGTTAAAGCTTAGTTTTCTAGATGTATTTGAAAAAAAAGAAGTTTTTTGTTCTTTTTTCTTGAATCTTCATGGCCTTAATTTGGAGGGCGCCAGAAACTTTTTACAGAGTGAAAGTCTGACGTCTAGTTGGGAGGGTTTAAAAACAAAAAAACAAACAAAAAAAAAAAGCAAACAGTCTCTTGGACCTCTATGGGAAGGGGTTCGAAATGCTGAATGAGTTGCTCTAAAGAAAAAAAAAAAAAGAATCTATCACATAAGCTGTACAGATTTAATAGAGAAAAGCTTTTTGTTTCATTTCTTCGTTAGAAGAAAACTTTGATAATTATTATGTCAGAGGTAACTACGTGTCAGAAGTAAACAAAATGTCTGTTGTCGGGATGGGGTGGGAGGGTGACGCATCGAAGAGATTTTACACAATGGGAAAAAGTAGAAAACATAAGAAGACACGCTGCGCTGTGGGTGCAGCCTGTTGCAAATGCTGAACTTGTTTTTTTATTCTCATTATCATTTTACATGCCGCTGTCGATGACATTAGTGCTTTTTATCGGCCACATTTTACCTTTTTTATGAGCTTTAAGATGTTTCTAGACTGCTTTGCTTGTCACACTGCAAAAAAAAAGATATATATAAAAAAAGAATAAAATGCAAAAAAAAAAAAAGAAAAAAAAAGTCAAATAACTTCTGGCAGTGAATTAAAACAGTAGATTGAGTAGGAGCTTATGGTTTAAACCAATCAGTGCAAAAGCAATAGAAGAAATTGTTGACAATTTCTGTAGTCTTTCCTAGATGTGGATCAAATGCAGCCCATGGATGGCCATTTTTATACCAAAGATGAAGAGACACTCTGAACCAGAGTTTTGCTTTTGTTTTTCCCCCCTTTTTTCATTTTTAAGTTTGTTGTTAATGTTGATGTTGTTGATGTTAATGTTGTTGATGCAGTTGTTGTTGCAGTTGTCATCATTTGTTTGTTTGCTTATTTTTCTTCTTTGTTTTTTGTTTCTGTTTTTGTTTTGTTTTGTTTTTCTACCTTAATGGCCGGACCAGTCCTACAATCCTTCTCAACATGTTGCTTTACTCAGAGTCAGGATCGTTTTTCATGCTTGTCCGATCTGTCTCTCTTTCTCTTACACACATCCACACACGCAAACATACCGCAAATTTTCTCACAGACCACACGTACAACCTCAATAATAATCGGACAGTATTTCATTGTGTGACGTGTTTTTTTAGCCTCCGTTGTGGAGGTGTTGATGCTTTGAGGGTGTGTCTCACCTCTTGCTCAGATCCTGCAGGGAAAAAGTTGGCTAGAGCAGAGGAGGAAGGTTGCTGGAAACACTCTGAGGTTTTTCCTCTCTGTGGTTTCTGTCTGTCTCTTTTTCCTTGTCGATTCAACCAATATTAACTCAAACATTTCTCAGCGAAATAAGCTGCAGAGAGAATCAGTTTGCTGCTATTTTTCTTTTTATCTTGCTCACTATGCCATCTCAACAGGCAACTTTCCTCACATTTAAACAAACTGAGTGACATTCTTTTAAAGCAGGTAAGTTACTATTCATAAAGAAAATTGCACAACGCAGGCATTAACATGTCAAGAAGTGATTGCATAAACTTTGACACCAAATGGCACTCTTCTTTTTTACCTTTACGGTATATTCCTGTGTATTTACTCTCTTCGGTAAGGCAGCATTAGGAGGCTGGAGGGCAGGCAATGACTGAAACCACTTTCTATGCTTCTTATTTTCTTTTAGCTTGCATTCCTTCTCTGTTATATTGTTTAGCTGCAAGTTTCAAAACTAACACGAAGTCTTCATGTAGAACGTAGCACCAGGAATCATCATTAATCAAACGTAAACGTCAATTATTCAGATTCATGAAGGGCTGCACTAAAAGCTCTGCTCATGCACTCTAGCAAGGCAGTGGTCCATATTGACATTTGTTACACCATAAAGGATTTTTTTCTATACTTTTTTTGCTTTTTGTTGAAGTGTCAATTATCTGAGCTTGGAGACTGCTGAGCCTTCATCTAAATCTGTAAATGTGTTGGAAGTAGAAAGGCGAAAAAAAACCCACAGCTTCAATGAATGTTGATGTTTAAATGTCCAGTTGTGAAGTGGGCAGTAAAAGTCAGGCTCTTAATTTGGGTAAAAACATATGAGCTAACAAAGTTAACTATGTAGGTTATTTTTGTATTGTAAAAGTATTTTTCGCCTGATCAAGATGTGCAAAAGGCTTTAAAAACAAAAAGTATATTTTATAGTGGTAGCTAAACTTCACACTGAGATTTGGAAAAATAGATCATTTAATTTGACAACATATTTTGGAAGGGGACACATTTCATGTCATATTTGACATAATCACCAGCATAACAATTGCCACCTTGCAATGCATTTTTGTACGATAATTCACTTTAAATATTTCAGGCTGTCTAAGGCAAATGTTGCGTGCAGAAGGTTATTTCTTCTACCGATTGCTCCAAATGGGCAAGACGAGGAAACGTAATATTTCAGCGTGATAATTTTTTGTTGATATTGCTCTCATCTTCAGTTGAAGCAACGTTTAAAATGTTTAAAACAGCTGGAAGTGTGGCAAATAAGGCTGAATGACCCAAGTTTGTTTTGTCACCATGCACAGACATTTACAGAATTTTAGGGGCCACCAGCAATTATTCTATGTCACTGTAGAAAATGCTGTATGGACAGGAACTGGCTGACCTGAAAAAGCCATAAAAATGTCCATGTACGTCTCGTGTGTGGAGTAATAATTAGGTATAACCCCAGCTTTGATCGTAGAGCATTACTTTAACACCAAATTCTATCTATTTAAAGACGCTGAAGCCATATATATTTATGAATCCTATAAAAATTTTGTAAAATAGCAACCCAGCTGTGGAAATTTTGCTGACAAAATGTTTCAAAAATGCAGTTTATAGCTTCAAATAAGAGTGAAAACAAGTTATTAGTCTGATGTTAGGGGCAGGGGGAAGAATTACAGACTTGCACAATCGTTTTATTTGTCTCCTTATAATAATTCAGCTGCCAACACAGAAAGTTCATGACCTAGCGAATTATATTTAGGTTTTTTTCACTAGAAGCTGTAAAACTGCTTCCATGCAGTTTGGGACTGTAACCAGTCCAAAAACAAAACGTTTGAGCAGAGAAAAGGCTGGCTAAAACCAAGCAATGGTGCCTCGTTGCCATCGGTTCTCCTCTGTGACGCTAACAAGTCTCAGTAGAAGTGTGTTTAAAGCCAAAAAAAGGACAAATTGTCCTCAACACCTTCCTGATTATGTGCCCAGTGTGGCGGATCTGTGGGAACTAAGTGCGCTCCTCACCAGCCATATCCAGTCACTGATGGCAGCTCCTCGGTCGCCCTCCACTCTGAGTGCCCGTTATGCCCCTCGTTATCCCACCAGGTTGCACAAACAACTCCCTTTCCTCTGATCCTGTCTTTCCATCCTTGAGCTGCGTGATGTTTGCAGTGACTTCACATTTGTGGACTTTCCCCAAGGAAATCGTCTGTGGGAGAACAGCAATTTCTGCCCACATTACAGCAGCCTGTTTGTGTTTTCAGTGTTCACCCTCCTGCTTTGCCCCAGCTGTGGTGCTGCAGCTATAAAGAGAAAAAAAAAAAGATAACTGGCAGAGTTTATGTGCCACGGCGAGGCCAGGCTCCTTTCTGCTCTGATTTTCCATCCCTACCTCATTGTTTGCCTCCTCCCTCTCATAGTTTCTATCTGAGGTTTCTCGTCTTTATTAGGTGGTGCAAAAGCAGAACCGCAAACCAATTTCAGTCACTCTTGCAATGAGCCTTGACGGACCCAATTTGTCACCCTCTGGGGCACAGGATCCCTTCCAATGTCCCGCAAAGACCCCTTTCTTCCTGAGAGAGATGGAGAGGAGGAGCTTTTTGTTTGCTAATGACATATTTTATTTCACTAGTGCTACTGATGGACTGCACATTGCAGATAAACTGTCATCATGCACGCCAGTGTTTGTAAGTAACAATCAAATTGAACATTTAGTGCCTTTTAACAAAGCTTCCAAACGATTCCATGTTCTCTCAGTTGTGAAGCACATGGAAGAGCTTTTGGAAGAACTTATGGAATCTCCTCAATGGTGCTAAACGTGGAGCTGTTTTCCATTATTGGACCTCAAACTAACTCCATTGACTTGACATTGCACAATTGAAGCTGGCCCACAGGTGTGTGCTTAAAGCCATAATGTATATATTATGTTGTTTTTTTTCAACTTCTTGTGTAGACCAACATTTTTTTTCCTCAGGCATCTGCAAGACACATAGTCAGATCAAACTATCAGCAATTATTCCAGGTCAATTTATAATTTTTTGTACCCACCTGTTTCCATTCTATCCCTATATTTTCACAGTAAACAAACCATTTCATACCTACTGACTTAAACTGATGTATTTCTTTATTTTTCTTAGTAGAGATGTATTTTCATGAAAATTGAAATAGATATAATCATAATAAGGCTCACAATTCATATCCTTTAGTTTATTTTAGAAAACCATCCTTCTGTACATAGATGGTATTATCTTAAGCATATAACCACTTTTCCTTAGAGAAGACAGTAGCTTTGTTTATATTTATTAAATAGTTACGCAAATTGAAATTACGAAGATAAATTGGCTTAATGTAAACAAGGCAATTTTGGTAAAACACGATATTTTCAATAAAGTTGGATGGGGTGGTTTTTCAGCTGTATCAAAATTGGTGTATTTCACAAAACTGCAATGGAAACACTTTTTTCCGCATCACACAAGTTATGTGATAAACAACCAGATGTTACTACTGCCAGAAAAGAGAAAGAAGACGACAGGAAGTGGTTGGAAGATGACAGTGTGGCATGTTTAATGACCTATTGCTTAAACAAACATATTCACGTGATTTTATTTGCATTTCTTATTTAATGGAAATAATTCTGAAAATGTTTTTTTAACATAAGCATAACATAAATTGGCATCTTGTTGGTACTAAATCCGCATTGATTTCCAGAGAAGTTTTGTACGAATCAACTCAAATTATTCCAGTAAGACATGTGGGAGTGATGAGATGCTATCTGTGGCCATCAATGTCAGTTTTCCTACTTCTGATCTACGCTCTATGTTTGCCTATAGTTAACTCTAATCTCTCACTGTGTACCTTCTCTCTTACAGTTATGTTTAACAGGTATTACTGGGGCGTAGAGCTCGACAGATACACTAAGACACAGATCTCAATCTGTTGAATCAGTGAACAACCAGGAAGAGTCCTTTGTTTTTGTTCAATTTACAACTTTCAGCAGTGGCACACCAGAATCAGAGTCGCCCTGCAGCTTTACAGCTTCTGTTCTTATAGAACAGAGAATGTTGTGAAGCCTAATAGGACTCTTAATGCATGAGTTGCACATCAGAGCACAGAGTGTCCTACAAATGGCCCGAGATTCAGTAGTAATAGCATTATGAGAAATAGGATTACAAATAGCCAAGAGATTATATGGTGGGGAAATGCACAACTAAGAACATCGGTTCTATTTTGCTAATGGAGACTCAAAGAAAGAAAGAGACATTAAGGCAGGTGTTTTGCTACCAACATTTCACACAGATCTGAAAGATTATCCAACAAGCAGAAATGGCTTTTTTCTTAATAGCACAATGGAATAATGTACCTTCTCAGAATACAAATACCTTCTTGGTAAGTCTGCGGAAGGCATGCCTGAAATTTTAAGGAGGCAGTTGCAGAAATGTGCCCCCAGTCAGATCATGTGTCAGCACAAACCTGGAGCCAGCAATACCAGGAGAGAAAGGAGAGGAGGATCATTAGCTCTTGTTGCTGGGCAGAAGTGAAGTTTAGAGAGCTTCCCTGTTAAGGACTTACAGAGGTGACTAATTCAACCCCTCACAAATTAGGAGTCTTCTCTCCGCCTTGCTTGCTCCATCACACTAAGTAGCTGTTTCCTTTTAGGCAAAACAACTGGTTAATTTGTGCCCTTCTCTGTCTTCAGTTTTCCGTCTCCTCACCTTACTGCCACTTAGTCAGAAGTCCTTTCACCTAGATTACATTTGTTTTTCTTTTCTTCAAATCTACATCCTGCATTTTTTACACATTTCCTCAGATCAGGACGCCTGAATCATTCATTTTCCAGCAAAACTTGGAGAAAAACAAAGAAGCTAACTTACCCATTTCAGTTAGCTGTCTTACAGCAGGAACAAACCTAGCAGAGTTGTTGAAGGGTGTAAGTGTGGGTTGTGCGGTACAGTCGTATCTTTTTGATCTGCAGAACACATACATCTGTGTCCTCTGAAAAAATATCTGCTTATGAGGCAGCAGGGATTCTTTCAAAGCGTATCCAGTCCTCGTATAATCGAAACAACTTTGCAGATTACTTTGATCTTAATAGAGGAGCTAGTCTGATGTGGCAGCATCAAGCTTTTTGCAGATGATGTGGATTAATTGACATCTTGTATCAGTGGCCTTTGTTGGGAACAGTTTACAACAAAGCATAAAGAACTCATGGGAAAGATGCAGCAGCCTCACTGTCTCTTGGTTGGAGTTAAGTCTGTTTGTCAAGAATCTTAATTCTTTATGAGTAAAACATGGCAGGTAGAGCAGAGGTGGGAAAATCTGGTCCGAAATATTTGGCATGCTGCAGGTTGAAAGCTTGCTCTTCAAAACCTGACTTATAAAATTATATTAGGACTTGACTTCTTCTATGATAGCATACAAATGGTTTCTTCGTAGGTGGGTCCAATTATATTTCAATGTTTTTCTATGGTGATGAGCTGAAATCAGCTTTTTTTTTTTTTTACTTTGAAAGAAACTTGTTGAGGGGATGGAGATCTGAATGCAGCAAGTTATGGAAGATCCATAACTTGCTGCAGGAGCTAGAAATTTCATCTGGGAAATTATCTAGGACCCTGTGATTCAATCCCTGAAAGATGCTGTTGTGTATTCATTGGGAGTGCTATAAAGTTTATGCAATCACTTTTTCAAGAAATATTGCATTTCAGATTGTAAATAAAGGATCCAACTTGCTCAAATGCAGTAAATCTCACTCACCTACTGGCCTAAAATTAATTTCGTAGCCAGAGGCAAAACAAAAACAGCAATATTAGAGCAGATTTTTGATCAAATCTTGGGGCAATATTCTGGTCTTCTCTAATGTGTCCGTCCATCAAGGCAAGGTGCTTTTTTTTCCCCTCCCACTGCCTTTAAACACATTCACTCATTCACTTCCTCGTCTCTCAGAATCACTGCCACCTCAGTGTCACAGCCATACTCTCATACTTCCATGTCCCGCTCAGTTGTGAGGCTCTCCTGGATTCATCCGCTGTGAATGAATTCGGAGCCGTCCCCCCATTGATCGCCATGTGTTCACATAAGCAGGAGTTCAGAGTTCCTCTCGCTGCGGAGTGTCAAGGAGAGCCGCGGCTCAATAACTCACTTTCACACAGTCACACTTAACACATAATGCAGTGGGAAAATTGCTCAAACGAACCCTCCCCCCTGCTGGAGCGAGGCCTTGGGCTTTTAATTGATGCTTCGGTCCACCTTTGATGAGAGCTATTGATTGGCTGCAGGACCCCTGGAGCTCCAGGCAGCCCACACACACACACACACGCATACACACACACATGCACACACACACGCACATGCATATATCCACACAGGCCTCATGGAGTTCCAACAGCTTCACAAGAAAGGTAAAATCTGATAAAACTAGGAGATAATTTTAAGGAATCCAGAAAAGAGAACTATTTATTAGGACAGCAGAGCAGTTTTTCATAATTTTATTGTGTTAATTTTGGTTACATTTTCAGTTTTTCACTTTTGTTTTTTTGTTTTGTTTCAGCACTGAGGAGGATATGGTCACACCTCTCACACACACACTCACACACGCGTGCGCACCCAGGCGTTGCTTGGTGTGTGCAATCTTTTATCTGTACATCTGTGGATGTTAGGAATTGACTTGGGTTTTATGAGTTCTTTTTTTCTCTCTCTGATGAAGCTTTCAATAAAAAAAAAGTGGGAAAAAGGAGAAGGGGTGCGTGTTTTCCTGTGTATTGTGATATTTCGCGAGTCCACTCAAAACAATTCCTGCATGTAGTGTCTGAAAATTTAGATCTCGATTTAAGAGGAATGTGAATTCACGAGTTTGTGATGTGCTGCTTTTGAAATCCAGGGTGTCTTAAAATACTACATACAACATTGATTGTTGACATTATCGGTCAATAATCAATCGACTGAATGTGGTTATGTTCATTATTCAACAGAATGACTTCATGATCAGAACTATGAATGTTAAAACAGGTTCAGTTAGGAGAATTTTATTATGGCTTTTTGGAACTTACAGAAGTCTGAGTATTAAAAGATTTATTTTATTTTTAAATAGAATTTAGTTTAATTTTGGCCCTTTGTGTTTGCTTCTGATTGGTTGAGCAATCCTTTTTGACAACTCTTTCTCCAGACGCTCGTGTTTACAGTGAGCTTGATTTCTGAAACTGCATTCATTGTCTGTTTGATTGAGTTTTTGTTTACTTTATAAGCTGCTCTGCAGTGATTTTATTTATTTATTTATTGGGTGCGAAGGGGCTAAAGTTTTCCAACGTTTTGTTTTGCTTTTCCTGTTTTTTCCTGTCCGTATAAATAATTTTATTCAGCATTGAAAGTTGGGAACATCCAAGGTTGTGTCAGAGCTTTGGACATGGAGGAACATTCAAACAGACAGATTTTCTATTGAAGCAAAGACCGGCCGTCCCTCCAGCTGTGAGAGTCCAAGGTGCAAACTGAATGAGCAAATGGCAGCATTTTCTGTGAAGGTAAGAAGCCATTTCTGACCCAGTCATTAACTCTTTTTCTGTTGTTCTGGTGCCAAAAGTTTACAGATCATGCTTTGATCCCTTCTCAGAGTAAAATAGGTCTGAGAACTAAGAATTAGCTGATAAAACCCCTAAAAAAAAACTTAATTTGGGCCCAGAGTCCCAAAATTATTCACCCATTAATTTGTTTTTGTTCACTTTTTGAAAGCAAACCAAATGACTACGGTAGTTTCTATAGCTTTTCATTGGGAGAGCAAAAAGTTGCCCAGAAAAACAGCCACCAAGTTTGGTATGCCGTATTAACGCTTCTTCAAAATGTCAAACCTATCTCTCAGTTTTAATTGAATTACAAATATAATGTAAATATAAATGTTTTTGTGGGTATGATCTGCTGTAAAGTGAATACAACAATTAAAAAAAGATTTGATTGAAGCTACGCTAAGCCTAAAATAGCTTCAGTATGTCATAGATGAAGAAAAATCCCACTCTGTACATCAAATTTACATTTTTACTGGAAAGAACTGACCAAAGGCTATTAAAAGTTAAAGAAGCAGAAAATAAACTGGCTACAAACGGAGAGGATTTCAGTCGGATCATATTTATGTCTGTAAATAAATTGTTAAAGAGACAAATCCTTTCCTTTTTTTCCCTTCCTGAGTTTGTTTCATAGTCCTATTGCTTTTTTCTGATGATAATCCATGCTTTCCAGTGGACCAGTGTTCCCTTTGTTTGACCCGCACCAGAGTTCAGATGAGCTTTCACACCTGCCCCGCTGAACCGGAACAGATGAGGAAACAAATTATGTCATACTTGAAACATCTCTGCGTAGATTTTATTCAGTTCATTTGAATAATTCCTGCAGATCCTACCTTGATCAATAATAAATGTGAGTTTTTTTTA